TCCCTTGTAGTGATGTTCTTCCTCTAAGGAAAATGATCGGATCATAGAATCACTGAGGTTGGAAGGGATCTTAAAAATCACTGAGGTCCAATGTCCCTGCTGTGGGCAGGGCTGCCACACACCAGTTCCAGCTGCCCAGAGCCCCATCCAACCCAGCTTTGGTACTAAGGTCTGGAGGACTTTTGAATGTTTACCCCATGAATACAATTCTTATCGTACTACAGAAGGACACTGAAACATGTTCATATTGAAATCCCATTATATATTGAGAAGTATAAATGCAAGCAAAGCAGCATAGGCACACCATAGTCCATTTTCTAGTTACATTATATGTGAAAGGATTTTCACTTAAAACCTTTAAGATTCTGCCTGTCATACAATGATGCTGTCAGTCCACTCTGGAAATCTCATATTTGATTCAACTTATCTAGCAGTGTAACCACAGGAAGTCTGACTTGCAATGCATTTGCCTCATAGATATTCAGAGCTTCTCAACTGGGAGGCTGCGTTACCTTCACAGCTCACATTTGTGGTGCTAAAACTTAATCTGAAAGTCTGCCAGTGGACTTCAAATCTCTTGCTCCACTTTTGCAGTGAGACCCTTAACAATAGCTCATGCTATGAGCTCTGCTGATAACCAGTGAGCTCTGCAGAATTATCAGTCTATCTGAAAGATCAAACAAGTGCAAACACTTCCATTTATGTTAATGCAATAACTCAGTGAACTGAGTAAACCATCTTACATTCTTTCAGCAGTGAGTACTTCTCAACACCAAACTATGTTACCTGTATCTGTAGTAAGAAACCAACATTCTTTCTCTGACCTCTCCTTCAATTTTCTGGTCAATGACCAGCAGCATGACTCCATACAGATAGAGTGCTTCACACTGTTTGGGAAAAGCAAGAATGAAGGACATACAATTTGAAGGAACATTAAAAGACAAACAAGTGCTGACAAACTAATAGAATATCAACTATTGGTCAACACAATGTGAGAAACAGCAGGCTGTAGACTTTTGGTTGTTGTCCTCATCAAAGCAAGCCACAGCATTACAGTATTCTTGGTGAATTTTAATTTTTCCTCTAGTTTTGCAGTTATCAGTTCATTTTCTACTATTACAACATTTTTGAATACTTACTAAAAGTTGTTTTCCATCTTCATTAAGGAGGACCGTTTCTAATGTTTGCTGGATGTAAATTCCTTCATTGAGGTCATCTAAATATCTAGGAACCACGACAAAGAGTTGGTAATTGACTACTTTACTCTCAAAATGTGTCTCCTCAGAACTCAATTGACCAAATTCCTCTGAAAGTCAGAGACAACAGAACACCTTGCAGTAGTACAAGCAGCAGCAAAGTACAAAATGAGAGTCTGGATGGAAGGCCTAGTTAGAGCCAATCAGTTGGCAAAACACTCCTCTCATTTCTAAATGCTCTAAGTGAACTAGACTCTATAACTTCCAGCTCATATTCTCTTAATAATCATATGGGAGGTTAACAGCCTGAGAACAAAGTACTGAGAAGAAAAAGCTCCTCCCCAAGTGCAAAATATAGCAGAAATATCGTATTTTCAAGTTATCCCAAAAATACCCCCTAGAAACATTTTAAATTTATGTCAACTGCAATTTGAAAGGTGGAGCTAGAAACAGAGACTGTTCATCTGGATGAACAGGGTATTTCTGCTTAGTAAAGGGCTTGCCAGTAAAAACACATACTACCATAAGACCAATATCTTCATACAAAACCAACAGCAACATCAAATCTTAGATTTAAGGTTCTCTGGATTTTTTTCTTATTACATTAACTTCTCCTATTGCATTTGCAGACAGGCATAGTAAATTTAAGGCAACTCCACTGAAGAATTAAGTTTAGGAAAATAATGACAATGAAAACTAAAGAAAAAAAAAACAACAAACCCACCAGGATCTGGTATACTGTTTTGCAAGACCACAAAAATCTAGTCTTTAAGAAACTCCACATGCATTCATGATACTATACCTGTTTAAATCTACGATGTATTTATGTACACTCTGAAAAGCTAGATAAAATCTTGTCAAAATTTCAATGTTGTTTTCACGAAATTCTTCATCTAAATCCAGTAACTCTGGTTTTGCTTCTAGTTTGCCTTCACATGCCTCAGGCCCCTACAAAAAATAAACAAAACAAAACACAATTATGTTTAGAGACAATGTTTGACTGTGTCCATAATGCTTTCCACTAAGACACAAAATGCACAACTACCAGAATGACAGTTACAACAAAATTAACCTTTTGTATTAAAACAAGAATTGGCAATTTTCCGAACTACTTTCTGATTGAAAATGCATTCCATAAAGAGGAATTTTACACTTTTTTTTTTTTTTTTTTTTTTTTTTTTTTTTTTTTACAATGATTTTAGATAGAATTTCTTCTATGTAGGCAATAGAAAAAGATGGTTAACACTCTGGGTAAAACTGATGTATCTGAAGCCGTAGTGCAACCGCTTTGAAAAGCAGCAGTGCTGCTTTGCTCCCTTAACATTCAAAAATCTTCTTGTTTACACTATAACTGTATTTCTTACCAATCATACCATCTGCTTTTAAATTTCCGAGTAATTTGTGTAAATAAAAATATTTTTTTAAAAAAATCTAACAAACACATCTAAAGGTATCTGTGAAATCATTTTTGCTTTGGGTTTCCAGCTTCTGAGGCTCCCAGCCAGTGCCCAAAGTTCACAGCTCCTATCAGTTCTCCTCCTCCCCAATATTGCTGTACTACTAACATGCATTTTAATGTACAAACCAGCTAAAGTCAAACTACACTGCATCTGCAGCTCCTTCTAAATCATACTGGAAAATGATAGACGGATTAAGCTTTTTGCAAGATGTAAGGAAAACAAGGACTTTTCATGCTCACTACTCTTTATTTGTTGATTCAGCACACGTGACAATTCCAGTGAGTGAACAATCACAGTACTGTTCAACAGGAAAGCATGAAGCAGCTTTCACAGCTGCAGAGAATAAGCTACAGATAACCAGAGGAAGATGGGCATACTGCTCACAGTACTGCTCCAGAAAACCCAACCCACTGCACAGGCTCAGAACCTGGTGGTGAAACCAACATTTGAAGTTCCTTCAGGAATAACACCTGAGAAGAAAACCCACAACTCAAGTCTTATATGACCAGTATTTGCCAAAACTCACAGGCCAAATGACTCATCATACATTCTGAAAGACTGTTCTTCTACATTCATACATAAAATTGTAACTCCATTCTAGCACTAAAACTCTATGCATGGGTACTGGTTATACTTCTCTTTTGCCCAGGTGCTTGTGAACAGAGCACGCACCAGACTCTTTCTGCTCACTGAAATTGAGTAAGGTGAGGCTAAGTATGACCAAAACTATATGAAATGCAGGACAGTCCAAAACTGGAGTGTTTGTATGCAAGCAAATCCCAGTTACTACCTCAGTTTGGTAAATTTTGCGTAAGCATAAAGCAAGTCACAAAAGCATTAAGGTTAGATAAGACCACAAAGATCATCTACTCCAACTATCAACCCATCACCACCATGCCCACTAAACCATGTCCCTTGGTGCCACATCTACCCTGTTCTTCAAAACCTCCAGGGAAGTGACTCCACCACCGCCCTGGGCAGCCTGTGCCTATACCTGACCACTCTTTCTGGGATAAATTCTTTCCTAGTATTCAAGTAGAACTTGAACCTTCACTGGTACAACATGAGCCTATCAAAAACCTCTCGTCCTATCTCTGTTACCTGGGAGGATGACCCCACCTCGCCACAATATCCTTCAGGCACCTTTAGAGAACGATAAGGTCTCCCCTGATCCTCCTCTTCTATGACTGAACAAACTCAGTTCCCTCCACTGCTCTCTACTAGATTTGTGCTCCAGACCCTTCATAGCTTCACTGCCCTTCTCTGGACACAGTCTCAATGTCTTTCCTGCAGGGACTGAGCGCGGTACTCGAGGTGAGGCCTCACCAGTGCTGAGTACAGAGGAACTGCAGCAATAACAAATCACTGCAGTCAATTCTGAAGCGTGTTAGTAATAAACACAATAGTCAGGAATCAGTTTTGTAAGCCTTACGTTTAGGACAACAATGCTTTACAGGGAAGTTTAACAACAGAAGAAAAGGGTTTACCTTAAAGTAACTGAAATCAAAGATGATATCTCCATACTTCTGTTGATCAGCCTTGTCCTTCAGCCTGAAAACCCCAGGAATAAATTCAGAAAGTCTTAAGAGCTCCGCAATGATAGCATTTCCACAGGACACAATCCGAAGAATTGCCTGACCACAGAGGTTATTTTCAGCAAGAAAATCCACCATCGTGGAGCTGGCTGTGAACGACGCAGTACGAGTCCCGCCGCCTGTTTTTGACCGTCCTCTTTCAGCTCGTTTGACGAAGAAATCCTAAGGAGAAAACGGGCTGCTCCATCAACAGCACCTGCAGAAACAGAACCGGGCAGGGTGAGCGCCGCACCTCCTGAGGGACACAGCGTAGGGATGTGCGAAGGGCCGGCGGCGGGATTAGATGTTCTCAGCAGTCCTGTCCAACCCGAACGACCCCGAGATACTTTCGATAGCGTAATCTATGCGGATTTTTTAAGCGCACACCTGCATCTTTCACAGAGCCACAGAATCGCAGGGGCTGGAAGGGACTTCCAGAGAACATCGAGTCCGGCCCCCTGCGGAGCAGGCGAATAACTTGCAAACGCAGCACTTAAAGCAGTCGGTGAAACGAAAAGCTCCGAGTTCCTCCCCCGCACACGCAGCGCTTGACGCGCTCCGCCGCGCGGGGCACTCGCAGCCGCAGGCCCTCAGCTCCGCCGCTGGCCGAGGCCCGGCTGCGCCTCACCGCCTCAACGCAACCGCAAGCCGCAGCGCCGCGCCTGCTCACCGTGCCCCGGCGCGAGGAGAGCTCGGAGAGCCGCCCGAGGAGAGCGCCGGCGGCGGCAGCTGAGCGCGGCGGTGCGGCTCGGCGGGGCGCGGCCCGGCCCGTCACGTGACGGCGCCGTCAGCAGAGGCGCGGGATGATGAGGCGGTTCCGCCGGTCGCTCCGCCCCGCTGCCTCCGTCGGGCCTCGGCGGCGGGGAAGAGGTGAGGTGCTGGGCGGCGCGGGGGGCGAAGCCGCCTGGTTTGGGGGCGGGGGGTGTGGGGGAGGGCTGGGAAGCGGGGCTCGCTGCCGCTTCTCTCCGGCGCTGTGTGAAGCCCCCTGTGGTACGTGCTCAGCCGTGGGTCCGGGGGCAGCGCTGCCGCTGGAGGTCGGCGCTCACGGGGTTGTAGGGGTGGAAAGACCGTCCAGTCCAGCCCCTGCTAAAGCAGGCTCATACGGGAGCTTGCACAGCGAAACATCCTGATAGGTTTTCAGCGTGTCCGCAAAAGGAGACTCCACAACCCCTCTGGGCAGCCTGTGCCAGTGCTCTGTCACCTCACACTAACAAAGTTTTTCTGCCTGTGTGTTCTTATGAAACTTGCTGCGTTCCAGTTTGTCCCTGTTGCCCCGTGCCGTGTCAGTGGGCACTGTTGAAAAGCGCCTGGGATATTCGTCTTTGTCTCTGCTGCTGGTTTGGGAGGTTGAAACACAGGGAAATTGGGTCATTTGCTCACATGTTAAGTCACAGAATATGAGATGTAACTTCAGGTTTCTGCTTAGCAATCTGATCTGTTCCCCTCTACTCTGCTCCTGTGAGGCCCCATCTGGAGTACTGCGTCCAAGTGTGGAGCCCCCAGTACAAAAAGACAGGGAGCTGTTGGGTCCAGAGGAGGGCCACAAAGATGATCAGGGGACCGAAGCACCTCCCCTGTGAGGACAGGCTGAGGGAGCTGGGCTTGTTCAGCCTGGAGAAAAGAAGGCTGCGGGGTGACCTCATTGCAGCATTTCAGTACCTAAAGGGAGCCTACAGAGGGGAGGGGAATCAACTCTTTGAAAGGGTAGATAACAGCAGGACAAAGGGAAATGGTTTTAAGTTGAGAGAAGAAAGATTTAGGCTGGATATCAGGGGAAGTTCTTTACAGAGAGAGTTGTGAAGTGCTGGAACAGGCTGCCCAAAGAGGTTGTGGATGCCCCGTCCCTGGAGGTGTTCAAGGCCAGGTTAAATGGGGCCCTGGGCAGCCTGGTCTAGCATCAAATGAGAAGGTTGGTGGCCCTGCATGTGGCAGGGGGGTTGGAGATTCATGATCCTTGAGGTCCCTTCCAACCCTAGTCATTCTGTGATCTGGATTATACCTACCCTGTGAAGACAGGCTGAGGGATTTGGGCTTGTTCAGCCTGGAGAACAGAAGGCTGCAAGGAGACCTCGTTGCCTTCCTGTATTTAAAAGGGGATTATAAACAGGAGGGGAATCAACTTCTTACTCGGGTAGATAGAGATAGGAAAAGGGGGAATGGTTTTAAGCTCAAACGGGAAGGTTTAGATTGGATGTCAGGGAAGTTCTTTGCAGTTGGAGTGATGAGGTGCTGGCACAGGCTGCCCAGAGAGACTGTGGATGCTTCAGCCCTGGAGGTGTTCAAGAACCAGGTTGGATGAAGCTCTCAGCAACCTGATCTAGTGCCAGATATGGAGGATGGAGGTTGGTGGCCCTGCCTGTGGCAGGGGGTTGGAACTTGATGATCCTTAGGGTCTCTTCCAACCCAAACTATTCTATGATTCTGTGATTCTATGACTATTGGATTTTCTTTCTTTCTTTTTTTTTTTTTTTTTTTTGTCAAAAGAAAAAAACAACTGTGTTTCTACTCTCACTTGGTCTCTTTTTCAGATCAGTTTGCCTCATTATATTTTCCAGAAGTGAGGTGTAAACAGAACAACAGAGTTGTCTGAGTGTACTTAAATTGCCTTCCAAAAGTCGTTTTGAGATGTTTAACTGCCAATGCAGTGGTATGATCTAGCAGTGTAAATGACAGCTGCAGCTCCCATATAGTTTGGTCAGTGCTTCCATAAATATGAAGAGAATGAAGAGGCCTGTTTAATTTTTCACTTCTTCTTTGTTGTTTTTTTTTTTTTTGTTTGTTTGTTTTTTGTGTTTTTCTTTATTTTCAGATTCTTGTATTTCAGGGTTTGTCTGTGAAATTTCCCAGAAGAACAGCAAGTTTGCTCAATTAGTGAGATTTACCACATTTGGGAAGTGAATTAGATTCTTGCCGTTAACTCTGAGGCACTAAATGTTCCCAGAAGGATAAAACTGCTAACATGATTTTGTGGGGCTATTTAACTGCGTATAAAGTTTGGATCATAGGGGTTCTTACAAACAGTTTCAGTATGATGGCAAACAACTACTTTTTTTTAAAAAAAAAAGTTAACCATAACAGCTTAAAGCATTCATCGTTAAATATTAAGAGCATTTCTGTTTTAACTTTCAAAGAGGTCTGTAAGGGACTTTTTGCATGTCTCCTGCTGTCAATTTGACAGTCTCTACAGATCTCTGAAGAAAACGATTGCTGTCTTTTGACAGGGAGAACATGAGCTGAGCCAGCTGGAGCAAGGGTTAAAGCCACCTGCCTCCTGTCTGGCAAGATGCTTGTTTAGAAGGGAGAGGGGGGAAAGCAATTCATATGTAATGTGAAGTTCAAGGTGTGTTGAATGTGAACTATCAGTATTAATTAAAGTTATTGTATACCCATGACTTAAAAACAGGGTCAGAAACGATAGGCTTGAGTAGCCAAGCACATTTTTGAAGCAGAAAAAAAGAAAATGATGCAAAAGAAAACATTGGAAGAGAAGACAGTGTGACAGCAGGTGTTCAGGTCTTATAATTTGCATGATCATGAGGAACATGGCAATGTTGTTCATGTTAGGATGAGTGCAAGAGTTAGTTATGGAATCTCAGGGTAAGTACTAGAGGGAGATGCAACTATGAAAAGCTAGGGCAAAGCTTTGTCCTTTCCATTTTGACATTTTGCATATTTCTGTTGGATTTTGGTCTTTCAAAGGCTATTGTTGATACAGCAGCTCATCCTCTTGTCATTTTGTGTACCATTTTGATAAAATTTCTATTATAAATCAATTTTGGTTGTGGATTCTTTTCTCTCCCTGCTCCCCAGTATGATCTCGGTGTAACTGTTGAAAATCCTAGTTACTATTTACATAAACTAATGGAGTATTTCTGTCTGTACAAGACTTGCTTTTATAAATAATTCTGCGTTTGAAGCCTAGCAGAATTTCTTATCTCCTGGAACATAAAGTATAAAACTCTACACACAAAATCCTTGTTTCTTAGAATACCTACTTGTTGTCCAAGCAAGTTATGGTAAAGCACAGAGAAGAAAGAGCAGAAGCTGAAATGTTTGGGACGAAACCACCAGCTGATGTGAACAGTGCAGACAGGGATAGTGTAAGCAAACCCACTTGAAAGTTGTGTTAATAACAGAGGAGAAACAGTTAATCTCAGGTTGTGGGTCTGTATCAGAGAGGACAGTGGTAAGAAAGACAAACATGATTCTTCTGTGACCCAACGCTGTGCCAGTGGAACATTGCTTCTGACAACTTTGGGGAAAGAGGCATCATTAGTTAGGTCGACTTTATTTAAAAATTATGCAAGATGATTTACTGTTAAACACATTGTTAGAGCAGGTGCCCGTTATTTATTTTTTCAAGCAATAGCTGTTGTAACAGGCTTGTAGTTGGAGAGGCTGAATTTGATGTGAGAAGTCACAGTTCTTGTTAGCCTAGCTGATAATGTGTCTAGAATACAGGCAGACTTTTGGGCACATTACTTTTTTTGGATCTGAAATTGAGCAGTAACTTTCAAGCTAACATCATCTATGAGGTTTTGCAATAGAAATAAGCAGGTGACAACTGCAAGTTGCTTTTTGTGGTGTAGCTGAGCTTAACATTGAATAAGAAGGGAATAAAAAACTTCTGGTGAATTGAAGTACCACTTACACTTAGGGCAAGGGGGGATGGTTTAAAACTGAGACAGGGGAGATTTAGGTTAGATATTAGGAGGAAGTTTTTCACACAGAGGGTGGTGACTCACTGGAACAGGTTGCCCAAGGAGGCTGTGGATGCCCCATCCCTGGAGGCATTCAAGGCCAGGCTGGATGTGGCTCTGGGCAGCCTGGTCTGGTGGTTGGCGACCCTGCATATAGCAGGGGGGTTGAAACCAGGTGATAATTGTGGTCCTTTTCAACCCAGGCCATTCTATGATTCATCCCTGCTCTCTGATGTTTTAGTGATCCTTTTAGCAGTGCTTAATGGTTAGCTATCTGCAGTTCGGTTTTCTCCCTAAAGTTTTTTGGGTGTAAACTGTATTCAAAATGTTTTCTCTTATTTCTAGAGTAACAATTCCAAGATGCAGAGGGGTACAAGAATCTCATTCAGCTCTGTGAATTCCACTCTCTCATCTCTGAAAAACTGCCAATCTTACATAAATACTGGAATGGATATTGCTACCCACGTTGCCCTTGACCTGGTGGAAAATTTCAGTAAGTAATTCCTCTGAGTATATTCTTTTATAATGCATCCTGAATTAATCCTGGGCCTGCATACTTTGATTTATTTATAATCATCTGTCTCACTGTGGGATCTGTTGCTCTTCTGGTTTTACAGAGTGTTTTCATTCCAGTCACCTAATTGTCTTCAATAACAAATTCAATGAAAATAGAAATACCAAGCAAATGTTGTCCCAGCTTTTGTAACACCCAAGACTAATTACATTCCAATGCTCGTTATCCTACTACTTTGTAAAAAACTTCAATATTGCTGAACAAGATGTAGAAGACCTCTTAGGGTGAATAAAATGACTTTTCTTTCTCATACTACCTCCTTGTGTGTGTTTTATTTAATGTTCAGGGCAAGACTTTAAAAATGCTAATAATTCTGAGTGCAGAGCTTGAGATACTTGTTAAGGGATGCGACTTTTTAAAATGCTGTCTGTTTCCCTGTTGAGAAACAGGCTCTTCAAGGGTGCTTCAATTTGGACATGTACAAACTGGAGTACCTTAAATCTCTCATCTCTTCTAACGGTCTTATCATTGCTATTTCACAGTAGCAGATGCAGTGCAAAGCTACTTTTCAAAGACCAGTATTGTCTTTGAATACCTCCTGTTTCTCTCCTCAGATTAATGATAATGTCTTCACTGGGGAGAAAGGGGAAATAAAAGGTAAAACTTTAAAGCTCCCAAACTGAAAAACCTTTAATCATGAATATAGGGTGAGAGTCCTCAAAGAAAACAATAGTCATTCATTAAAATCTTGCTTTCAACTGAACCAAGGTTTATGTACAGTCAAAATGAATGCTTCTTTGTCTAGTGTGATAGTTCTCTCTCCTCTTACCTTTTTATCCATATTGCTGTCAGAGACAATTGTGCTGTTTCCGAATGGAAACTTGTCTTAACAGTCAGCTGGGAATTCCCTTTGTAGTAAAATGGGTATAGCCAGTTCTGTATCTCTGCTTGTGCAGCCACCTTCTCTCCTACTTTGCCATAAGCTTCAGTATCCATTGCATTCACATTTGGAGGGGTGAAGGGCAACGTAAGCTTCACAGTGCAGGTTTGCTCTGAAGGTCTGTGCATTATACTCCCAGTAAATTTCATTGACTTTCTCTGTCGTGCACTTCTCACGTATGAGTCCTCAGTTACAGCCTTGAAGTTATGTTGCCCACTTCATTCAGGAACCAAAAGGGCTTTACTTAATACATTGTCTAGAGGTAAAATTACTCTTGATGCAATTAGTATGGTCATTGTTACTGTTGAATTATATCGTGCGACTGGAAAACAGTTTCTAGATCATAACATTAATTTTATTTTAGCAAGGAAACCATCCTGTAGAATCTAGGATTATGAAGTTCTAGGGTTATAAAGTAAGTCCTTTTAACGTTTTGATGTTGTTGAACACAGTCCATCCCATTCTCTAGGGTAAAGCTATCATAGACTTGTATTTGAAGTTTAAAGACCGTATAGTTTAAACATGGTCTGGTATTATGATGTTAATTTTTCACTTACAGTAATTGTGATCTTCACTCCTTTTCTTAGCTGATTTATGTGCATGTGAACATGGAACAAGCAAATAAGCAAAGCTCCCTCACTTCTCTTTTACAAGGTTTGATTTTCACTCCCTTGACTTTGTGAAGGTCATCCTCATCTCCTCCTCTTTTGCTTCATTTCCTTTTGTTTATACAGTGCCATCAGGAAATACACAAAGTTGCTGCGATATGACATAACTTTTAGTAAATACACACTGTGCTATTTCAGATTTTTTTTTTGGGGAGGGGGGTGGTTGAGTTAGCATCATCTGGTCTGCTAAACTTGTCTGTTAAGCTCTAATGTCCAGCTAATTAACATCTTTTATGGAGACAGAACATGTAACAAGTTCTATCTCCATAAAATTGTAACCCTCCTATCCTGCTTAACCTTCTTATTTTGAGGCAAAGTATTCATTTAATTTTGAAACAGCTTTTGATAATATATTTCTGCATTCTTGTTCCTGTCCTGTTTGCGGTTTAATTTCCAGCTTCTGGCAGGTTTCATTGCTAGGCTCTGTAGTAGCAAGGAATTCTGTTGTGATTATTGTTTTATTTTAGAAGCATTGCTGCTGTGAAGGTATCTTGTTCCTTTGGAACTTCACCTTCCATAGCCACTTTTTGGGAGTAGCACTGGGCTAAAATTGTCTTAGGAAGGACATGAGAGAAGTTGGATTTACATGTGAAGGCATGCAAACTTTGTGCAGTAAGTGCTGTCTGTTTCTTCTCTTAATTGCTATTATTCCTTAAGAGCCTGATTCTGGAATCATTTACTGGTAAGCATACTTACTAAATAACACACAGTAATGTTTGCTGGACTGGCCAGTGTTTAATGAAGGGACCTCCCATAAGTGCACCAGCTAGTAAATTAGGTTGTTTTGTTTTTTAAGGTCTAACTGGATCTCTTTTCTCTCCTAGGTTATAGTAGTGGATTTGCTCTGGTGTTGTATTTGAGATGATTTGTAAGCAGCAAACACAATAAATTTCCCCCCCCCCAAAAAAAAAAAATTGAAGGATGATTCATGAAAGACCCTTCAGAGCTCTAAAATAAAAAATAATATAAAGAAAAAATATAAATTAACAAGCATAAATTTGCTCGGACATATTTTAAGTGTTTATATCTTATGCCAATTTTAATGGTGTTTTTCCCTGTTAAGTAAAAGTAGCTTACTGCATTTTAACACTGTGGGGCTGGAGAATGTTATTTACTTTCTGACATGCTTAGTAAGAAAGCATAACGAAGAATGTAGAAAGAAAAATTTGGTGTTTCAATACATCTGTATGCGTGTAAGTTATAAAGCAGCCTCATGACTGTTCAGGTGGAGTGAAAATCAAAGCTCACTAGGGGGCAGGCGAAGATAGGAAGTAAGCAGCACTGCCATAAAAATTTCAAAAAGCACTGAAAAGAAATTCTTTCCTTTACCTCTCTGTTGATTTGGCCGTGATCCTTGAGTAGCCTCAAGCCCTCTCCAGTTAAACCATCCAGAGAACAAAGATTTCTTCTTACAATGGTTATGGAAGCTATAAACCTCTCAGAACAATTGTGAACTTAAGCTATTTAAACAGATGGTGGTAGTGTTAGGTGGAACAAAGAGTAAATCTGCTTCTTAGGTCATGAAGCCCAAAGGGTTGCTGATAGGAAGAGGTGCCAACTTGGAGGCAAGGATTGACTCAGGATATTCCGTGATTTATAATAGCCTTGTAACCTACAGTAACCTTTCTTCAGAGGATCTCAGATGCTTTGCAAGCATGAGCAAAGCCTCTCAGCTATTCGGGAGGTAAACAGTAGTTACAGGGATTACTCTGCCACTGTTGAAATGAAAATCTTTTGGGTGAATAAAGACTGCTATGTAGAAACATTGAAACTGCTTAATAATCCAGAAGGGAGAAAGCTTTCCTCCAGCTAATTTAAAAGAGCAGAAAAAAACAACTAGAAAATACAGAAAGGAGTTTTGAGTTGGATGTCAGGGACATCAGATTAAAACTGCTTACTTGTGGATAAATACATTAGATTTTTCATGCCTTTATGTTGACATGTGCTTTGAAAGTTTTGAAAGTGCTTTGAAAGGACAAAATCAGGCACTGGGTTTACATTTCAATAGAAATTTCCTTTGGAGAATTCCACCTATTGAAATGAAATTATCTTTTCTCTTAACATCATATTTCCCTTAAGGAAGCTGCCATCTTCCTTCCTACTGACTCACTTCAGTCCTTTTGAAATGAATTTTATCTGTTACTGGATGAAGGTGGCATGGCTGCAAGCCAGCGTACATATTGATGCTATGTTGCTGTAGTTGAACTTAGTCTCAAAGATGTAATAAAAGCTGCAAAAAATATCAGTGTGAGAAATCTAGAAAAGTGAGGGAATCAGTTTAACTGATAGAAATAACAGCTGAAATGACTTTGAAGAGATAAAGATTTGTAGCGTTTCATCATGTTTCTACATTTTGAAATGTGGGACAGAATGTACCTGTTAATCTAATCCTCTGCATACTGGGATGCATTAATTTTACTTCTTTATGCAAAATAATAATCCTAATAAAAACAATGTTTACCCATTCCACAGGAATATTGGAGGGATTTAATACCCCAAGTTTCTGAGCAGTTTCAGTCATCTCATTTATACGATTGTCTTGACATTTGCTTGTCGTAAGTTTAAAGTGATTTCTGTCCATTTAACCATTTATATTGTCTAAAGATCATATTTTTCTCCTTTTTTTTTCAAAAATAACATTGTGATATGCAAATGTATTAAAATGTTACTTCATAAAAGGCCATATAAGCAGTGAAACAGGCTGCACAGACTTGGTTTAAGTGTGTGCTCTCTGTACTCAAAATACTTTTAGTTGTTCTGTGGTCCAGTCCAGCAAAACACTGAAGGAAGGATTACATCTAAATTCTTGAGTGAGCCTCCAAATTTCAGAGTGATCTGCGTATTTTAAAGCTTAAGCACATTCTCATATCCTTTGGGAATTTGAAGGTGGTATTATTTGCATTTGCAGCTGATTTATAACAAAATCATCTAAGTTCTGTAATTCATATATTTTAAAATTTAACCTCAGTCTGTTGTTTGAGCTGTCTGTATTTGATTGAAAAAAGAGCCTTCTATTAACACAAAGAACAGCTATTTGCACTGCTCGCTTCACTTCTGTAAATGGCTGAACTGTCTTTACCTAAACTCAGAATCTTCTCTAGAGGTAGAAAGGGCATCCATATTGGATATAAGGAAATATAAAGATGTAAGTCTTTTTCTGTTTGTTTTTTTTTTTTAATTTGGTATAACATGCCATATGTATTGTGTGATGTGCTGATCATGATATGAGTGTGCCATCACAAAGACAGACATGCATTCCCACTTCTGCTTGGAGAATTCGGATGTGAATTCTGCCAGTGTGCTGAGGATGGTATTTTATCTGTCTCTTTGAAAGCAGGAGAACTTTCTCACTGATATGGGACTATGAAGTA